GCGCGCAGGGGTGCCGTAAGGGGATGAAAAGTTAGGACGATTCTAAGGGCCCGTGACTGACAGCGGCCCAAACTATTTTAGAACATTAAGAAAAAAAAATGTTAAGTAACCAATTGAGATATCTTTTCATATGGCCCAAAATCCCTGGCGGTGACCCGTTGTGTGTGTGTGTGTGTGTGTGTGTGTGTGTGTGTGTGTGTGTGTGTGTGTGTGTGTGTGTGTGTGTGTGTGTGTCTCTCTCTTTGCAGTTCGCTCTAAAATGGTTTTATTAGCCTCCTGCAGTCATGACCCGGCAAATCATTAACACACACAGCGCCGGGCGTAGCATTAATTCAGATGGAGACAGACACACACCATATAAACTGTGTGCCGGGATAACAGATCAAACCGGTTTGTCATAACTGTCTGTTCATTTCAGTTAAAAATGTTTGTGTGCAATTTAAAAGCCGGATCCAGAAGATTTAATGGAATGATAGGCACATTGTTTAACTGAGAGACATTTAGCTTGTGTTCGCCTATCTGCACCCAAATCTAGGTTTATTCTAATAACTGAGCTTGTGCAATCGGCACACACACATCTCTCAACATTACAGCCCACTCACTGTGACTCAGTGAACTTTGTTACCCATCATTCAACTTGTCTCCATACCTAAATGACAGAACAGTTTGCCAATGACACAATACAGTATATATAACTGTTCTATTGAACTTTGTGAAAACGCTTGCTGTTTAAACACAACGTACTTGAGTAGGGTAATTAAGGGTTTGGGTCTAAATGACGTGTTACGGGAAACGGTATGCCGTCACATTCATATTGACTTTAGTCTACCACTCAACATTTAGACTTGGTTTTACATGGGACACGAACAATTATACACCAATATCAGTAGGCTATACTATCTGTGTTAAACAGTTATTGCCTCAATCAGGTGCTAAGGGTTAATGAAAAGTACTCTATAAGCTACTTTGAACACATTTGTATTACTTCTGTGTGACTATGTATTATTTTTATTATTCTGTTAATCACTTTGGCGTTGGAAACACAAGAGTTGTTATTACTAAAAACATCGTAGCCTATATCCCAATGTTTGCTAGCTTGCACGAAACCAACGTTTGATAGCAGCAGCAAAAATCCTGACAAGCTGCTCCATCAACCTGATAAAGTCTACAGTGGTTTCGTTTTAAACCAGTATAGTGGAACGTTCATAGTGATATATATCTATTTTGTTCATTGGAGCTACTTCAATCACGGCTGGTTGCACAACTTCAGTACGTAACAAAGATGGCGGTCGATGATTGTGAGAAGCTTCCAGCATTTCAGACTCAACTTTTTGAACGTGGTGGTGCAGCGTCCGGGTACTTATGGTGCATTTTGCCATACTGTGATGTAATCCCCAACTTATACACATACAAACAATCACACATAAGTAAGTTAGAAGCATTCACACTGAGACACAGCACAGGCCTTCTTTCTTCTGATAGAAAAGTTGTATTTTTTTTAGGGCCGGGACTCGATTAAAAAAATTAATCTAATTAATTACAGGCTTTGTAATTAATTAATCGCAATTAATCGCATTTTTAATCGCATATAAATATTTGACCTGAGAACAGTCTGTTCTCAGGTCAAATATTTATATGCGATTAAAAATGCGATTAATTGCGATTAATTAATTACAAAGCCTGTAATTAATTAGATTAATTTTTTTAATCGNGAGGAATGTCTATCTAAAAATAGAACCAAGAAAGCACTCACAGTTGGTTAATGCACATCCTGGTGACGATTTTTTTTGTGTTATCTGTTTTTTGTTCTGTATTTTTTGTATGGATCATCAGAATGTTGCAGGAAAAAAAACATTGAACATAAAAAAATTAGGGCCGGGACTTTAACGCGTTAATTAAGATTAATTAATTACACAAA